AACATTTAATGTCCTTTAACTACTAATTATCATAAAACCATAAATACCAAGTTTACTTAGCTCAATCTACTCCTATTAACTATTTTTAAGTCAATGAATTCAGACCCACAGCTTCTATGGACCAAAAATCACCATTATCAATCAAACCCTAACTTCTACCATCAAGAAAATGGAAAAAGAGAGAAGGATTTAAGTAAAGAAGCTTACCTTTGGTGTTTATAAGCTCCAAATTACTCTTATAAGTTAGTTTCTTCAAACCCTAGCTCAACTCCTTTGTTCCCTTCATTTTTCTCTATTTTTCTCATGTAAATATGAAACTGATAGGTTAGAATTTTGGCTGTGCACCGTGCCGCATGCTTCCCTCTACTGCGACGCATGGCACAGAGGAGTCTATTGGATTCAAATCTGCCTCTGTGCACTGCGGCGAACTAACCACGTGCCTTGACATATCGCACAAAGAGCAAATCTTTATTTTTTTTTCTTCCTCTTTCTTTACCTGGGTGGCTCGCCATCAATCTGCACCTACTTTTAGGGATGAAATTACAACAATTACACCAAATTAAGCTCTTCTGGCCACACATCTCATTAATACACTTAATTAGACTATTTGATCTTAATTAACTTGATTTAAAATTGAGGATGTTACAGATCTGACTTGCATATCCTTGATGTTTTGTCTAGGCTTTATCTTGAACAACTCATATTGCTAAGTCAAAGTGCTTATTTTATTCTCCTTGACTCCTTCAGTTCCTTCATGAGTAATCTTTAGAGCATCTCACATCTCTTCTGCAATTTTTAGATTGCTTATTTTGAAATATTCTTGTTGACTCAAGGCACTTGCAATAATTAATTTTTCCTTGAAGTTGAGCAGCACTAGTTTTTCTTCCTTTTTTGTAAATTTACTCCTTTCTTTTCTTATGAGTTGTCCTTCTACAATTTTATATGGACTATAAGGACTAATCTCAACAATCTCCCATAAATCAAGGTTTAAGGCCTCAAAGAATAATCTTATCTTACTTTTTTAGAAAGTATAGTTTTTACCATTGAATCCTAGAGGCCTATTAATTTCAGCACCTTTAGGGAGAACACTATCACTAAAACTAGACATAGGATCCTCTAAGATTGTTAAGCCTTTTATTAAAAGTCCAAGCTCTTATACTAAATGTTAGGATAGGCTACCACCCAAGAGAGGATGAATTAGATGACACTTAAAACTTTTAAAAAATTGAAAAAGAGTAAAGAACTAAAGAGTAAAGGAAGAAGATCACACACTCAAGATTTATACTGGTTAGCCATAAACTTGGCCAACATCTAGTCCTCAAGATCACACTTGAGATTTTCAACTAAAAACAAAAAAGCTTCAATGGTTGCTTGCCACCACAGTATAAATCTCATGATTAAGGTTGTCTTGATTCACTTACCACACCTTTCTATAATCCAGCAAATTATCACAACACTTAAAAATTCCTTTTCAAGATTACAGAGAAGATAATAAAAACTTTTTATAGAAAACTCTCTTAAAAAATATATGAGAATATAAATAAAAGTTTATAAACTTTTAAGAGCTTTTCACAATTCTTTTCAAGAATAATGAATGAATGCAATGAGTAAAATCACAATTTGAAAGATCTTTTAAATGCACAAATGATAATTTATTTGCGTAAGGATCATTTTGTTCTTGTTCTAGGTCAAAATGAATCACTTATATTGTTTTTAGAAGTTGAGAGACTGTTGGAATAGAGATTCTATCCATTGAGGCATTTTCTTATGAGTGATTGGTATAATCACATGTCATTTAACATTGAGGAAGTTTCACAAAAACTAAATGTGATAGATCACGGGTGAACAACTTATCCTCTCACATGTGGTTTTGTACTTCTGAAGAACCATTTAGTTCTCTGTGCCTAATCACACATGATACCTCATTTCTCTCTCACATGGTTTAATACTTAAGAATATTCATTTAATTCTGGGTGCTAAAACTCACATGATACCATATTGCTCTCTTGTGTGGTTTTGCACTTATAAATAGACTTGCATATGAGAGTGCTAAAACTTGTGAGTGCACCATTTGCTCTCACTCATGGTTTTATACATAATGAACTATCATCAGTTCTATGTGACAAATCAGACATGAAACCTCTACTTTCTCAAATGTGAAATAGCTAGCACAATGCCAAAGCTATTCAATGAGATCAAAACTCACGTGGAACTAAAATGATATCATATATGAAATTGCAAGCACTAGTGCTTAAATTTGTCTAATGCATATTCACAAGTAGAATAAAGCGTAACTCAAGTAAGATTTTGTATGATCAAGAGATAAGGATTTATGAATCAATGATCATACATGTGAATAATTTTAGCTTGACTTGAGAAGACTTAAGACTCAACAAAGCAAAGTGTGATTGCTCAACAAGTGACAAATCATGCATGGCTACTATCATTAGTCTTACATGTGGTTTTGCACTTTGTCACAATATAATGAAGCGCAGGTGCTAAAACTTGTATGGATAATGAAGCCTTTCATGTGTGGTTTTGCATGCAAAGACAAAACTTAAGGCAATAAACAGCACAAGTGCTTAATCACACGTGAAGCACTTCTTCATACTCGCATGATTTACTTGTCAGTGTGCCTAATATGTAAAAACTCATGAGTGACCTGCAGAATCACCCATGATTTTGCCACTTCACTATGCAAACTTTTTCTATGAAAAACCGTATGCAAGAAGGATATTGTTTGCAAGCTTTAACATACTTAGATGAGTCTTAATGCATATAAAAGAGACATATAATGCATTCACTTTGTGATTAAGAAAAGTTATTAAAATCTCTAAGTTTTCACATTGAATCTAAGAGAATTTAAATTACTTATCCTAAACTTCTTCATCTTCTCTTAATTCTTTATGCTCTTGAGGTTTTGTCTTCATTCATGATTCTTTATATTTGCACACATAACAAATACCTCTTCTTTTGGTTTTGTAATAATCAAAACACATGATCCAACACTTTGGTTTTGGTGAAATATGTTGGAAGTGACTTATAAATAAGATTAAAGAAGTATGTAAGGAGAAGTCATCCAATCAAGGACAAAAAACATTAATGTGGACAATAAATTTTAGAGATTGTTACGCACTCTCGCACACGTGCATACCAATGTGTGCTACTTAGAAGAAGGATTCATATTTATGTTATATTTTGGAAAAACATAACTTTGAGTTCCTACACTTTGCTTGAGTTTTGTTATAGTAGGTATTTGAACTTTTTTTGGTATTTTAAATCCCTATACTTTTATTTTTCTGTATTCTAGGTCCTTCCATGAGTGATTATAAGGACCTAAAATGCCAAAAAATAAAAGTATAGAGACCTAAAACACTGGAAAAAGTGTAGAGATAAAATTTTTTATAAGTTTTAAAAATATAAAAAATATTTTTTGTGCTAATACAACTAAAAAAAATCCATATAATCTATGTATCTTTATATGCAAATTAAATGTAAAACATAGGCACACCATTGATAAAGTATGATGCAACTCACTTTAGACTTTGTATAAGACACATGAACTACTTGTAGTTTAGGGGTAATAAAACTTAGTCTCTTAATGAATTTGATCTTTTGAGTTTAATTCTTATCAATTTTGTCCATTAAAATTTCCTCAATTGTTGCTGTGATCCTTATTGTTTGGAGATGAGGTAACATTATTAAACAATGAAATATGTAAATTAATAAAAATAAGTGTAGTTAATTATGCAAAAAAAAAAGAAATTAAAACATTCTAAGAAATTTTTAATAAACAAAAGAACATATAAAGCAATGTATAAGAAAATAAGGAGAAATATGAAAATTTCATTGCCTTTATGCTCAACTACTGATAAGCTGATTTTGATTGAGTAACTCAGACGACTCTTACACTGTGATGAGGGATTTTTCGCAATGTAGTATCTAATGAATCCTTTTGAAAATTTCTTCGAAAAATCAACTTACCTCATAAACAATTTCTCATCCTTTGGAAACTGTTGCACTCAGCACTTCCAATTGAAGATATTCTTAGATATCATCAAATTAGATGTTCATTCACATTGTATGTTTGGTTGTGTGGAATCAGAATCATCAACTCATCTTTTTGGGAGAAGTCACTGTGTTAAATCAATTTGGTTAGGTGCTTTGTTCTTTCATTCTTCTAAAACAGTATGACTACTGTTTTCTCTACTTGCCTTATCACAATTCTCACTAAATTGCACAAGGATGGTCTAGATTTTCAGCTTAGAAGTCTTATTATCTTCCTCAACCTAGTATGGCAAAAAAGAAAATTGCATTTTACAAAGGGATTATTTGTTAACCAAATCAAGTGATTAAGGAATTTTAGCAATTGTGTTTTTATCTTTTGGAGGTTTATGTTTATTCTATTATTGACAAAAGGAATAATAATGCTTCAAGAGTTGTTTGCGATCTTCTACTATGACGTGGAATAGATTTCCTTTCGTAAGTCCTCAACAACTTTGGAATATAAGGATGTAAAAAAAAAAAAATTCAAACAGGGTTGTAGCATCTACTCTATTGCTATAGTCTTTATCAATTATAAGTTCATGTAAAAGCTTTATTTGGAAACAATTTTCTTTCACTGAGTCAAATTGTTTCAATTTACTTTGCTTTTGAAGTGTGCTAGTTTGGATCAAGGAAGCATGTTCAAATGGGATCTCCATTAGTGTGGTCTTGCATTTCAGTGCTATCAAAAGAAAATTATTTCACTGCCTCTTCTTTGTAAGCATTTCTCTTTTCTACCAATGGTGCAAGATGCCCCATGTGCTTGCTAACTACTTTGCTTCTGTTTCATTTAATGTTTCTTAGGACTAAAACTCTTCAACCCCCCTTCCCTTTGGAATTCCTGCAATCTTATATACTGTAAAACTAATTTCTTTTTTATTAATTGATCTTTTTATAAAAGGGGGGAAATAAGGAGAAAAAGAACATAAGAAAATAAGAGGAAAAAGAAAAGAATATAAAAACAAAGTTGATTTATTCTCACTTATCCAAACACATATATACCAAGTCATCAATATACACATCAGATTAATTTGAGGACCAATTTGTGTTTCAAAACCTAAATAACTAACTTGAAGAAAACATAAAAGATTAGATTGCTACAAAAAAAAAGTAAATTTGATAAACCAAATCAATATAGCTTAGACAAATTTGACCGACTAAAACTTTTATTATCCCTTTTATTTTACTCAACAATGATTGACCTATAAAACACAACAAGCATTAGGATTCTCATCACTAAAAAGCTGAGGAGCATAGACATAGTGGATGATATAAGGAACGTTGTGTTTGGCCACAATGTCAACTGTGGTATCTTCTTGGATTTGTATTATCTGTGTTGTGCTTTCCCCACTCTCCTTATTCTTCTCTTTTCCTTTGTCCTTCTCTGATTCACCATCTTTCTTCTTCTCTTCCTTCTCTTTTTCTTTGTCCTTCTTCTCTGATTCACCATCTTTCTTCTTCTCTTCTTTCTCTTTTTCTTTGGATTCAGTACCAGACTTGCCTTCTCTTTTTTCTTTGGTTGATTCACCTGCCTTACCTGATGATCCAAGTAATAAGTATATATGAACAGGTTAAATTTCACCCATTAATTTCTAAAGTTTGGTTCTTTAATTCCAAATACTCTTAAAAGTTGACAATGAATCATTTTGAACTTTTAAACTAACATATATAATAGATAACCTTGTGTTGTTAATTAGTTTGTCCATTATTTTATTAATTAATGCAAAGTGATATGTCGGTACCAATGGACTTGTAGGTTTTATGTTTATGTACAAAACTGGGTAATGCATAAATAATATTTTAATTAAGCTATATTAAGTCGTTAATTAATGGATAAAATAGATCAATGGCATGCCCTATTACAAATGAAATAATAGATGTGAAAATTCAATAGAATTCGTATCAAATTTTGAAATTTTAAAAATAATCTACATACATATATTATTTAAAATTTAAAGGAATTGTACGTAATTTAATGTTGAAAGTACATGCCAATGCGTTTATCAAAATGAGAGTTAAATATATATATTATATTCTAAATGAGAATAGAACCTCCCTGTCTCATTATATATTATATATCAACTAGGAAGAAAACTTGAGAATCATGGAATCCAAACTATTCATGACTCTATGAGAATAGTGCAGCTTCCACTAGTGCTTAAAAAAATGTGTGTGTACAGGGAAAAAAAAAAGAGAGAGGGAAAATTACTGTGAAATCCCTCAACCATTTAAAATACCCAAAAATCCCATGAAATCTTTAAATACCTGTTAGGTCCTTAGGAGTGAATAAAATTAAAATGATAACCAAAATATCCATGTTATAAGATGTCAAGTTGTCAACTTGGGAAAGGCTATTGACAACTAAAATGGCTGTTGCCAACGTTGTCAATAGGGCATCTTGTTATAACATGAACATTTTGGTAATTATCATTTCAATTTTATTTACTCCTAAGTTTCTAGAAACCTGACATATATTTTTAAATTCAATGGAACTTTTGGGTATTTTGAATGGTTGTGGGGGACTTTATGATAATTTTCCCTAAAAAAATTTTGTGTGTGTGTGTGTGTGTTTGATGAGTTCGACTTGTTCACATGTCATAAAATTTCACTTATTTGATTTTAGCTTCAATCCAGACATATTATTTTAATTCATAAATTAATCAGACCAAAATGATAAGTCCAAAATGTAATTAATTAAGGATTTAAAAGAAATTAATATCAGTTAAAGGTTATTCTCACCCTTTTCTTTGGTTGATGACTCTGGAGATTTTCCATCTTGCTTGCCCTTTTCTTTGTCTTCAACCTTTTTCTGTTCCTTTGAGGAAATAATCTCTGCTTTTTTATGCACTTTTGTTTTCAGAAACCTTAATAATTTTTCAGGCTCAATGCTTCCTTCAGTTGTCACCGTTTGAGCTTCCTGGTCAGTTTTAACACTAAAAATACCTGCAAATTTCATTCGTTAAATAAATAATATTACTCATAAAAAATTGTAACATTCAAATTTTACATATTTGAAATTGAAATTCTAGGGTTTTGGGTATGTGTATATTTATACCTCTGTGTTTTATCAACCTATTTTGCAGGTCTCTCCCGCATTTGTCACAATGCATGTGAACCTTCGCTGTGATAGTGCGAATAATTGGCTTCAAATCAACAAAAAATTGGTTGATTAAATTGCAAAACAAATATTAGTTGAACTAATATAGTTCAGAAAATTCAGTCTGACATTCAAGCACTCGACAGGAATATGAGTAGAAATAAATGTTTGAAGGAGTATTATTTTAATGTACATATTTTTAATTATAATCAATTTGACAATGGTTTTGATTACAATCCAATTTCAAAATCTTTGGTTGATTAATTATATGACCGATTTATAATGTAAAACTTAATTAGCATGTTACAAAATCTAGATTCAAACAGCATTTTTGTCTTCTTTAGCAACTCCATCCAATATATAATTCAAATTAATTAGTCGAAACTTGATACAGTATTTATAAAATTTATATTAATATTACCACAAAAAAAGCATACATCAATATATTTTATCAGAACGCTCATGTTTCTTAGTTCAACTCTATCCGATATGTAATTATGTTGAATTTTGTGCATAACACAAGAAAATATGTCTAATTGTTACATATAGGAAGATTTTCTTGAATGACCACCATGATTATTTATGAGTTACTCCTCACAGCTTATTTATAAATTATTTTTAATATATTTTACTGGGATTAAGAAAAATATTAAAAATCATTAACTTTATCTAAAATTTAATTAATTTTTTATTTTATCCCTATTAAATATATATGCTTTAATAATATACTTGCTTTTATTAACATTTAATGGAGGATAAAAGGAAAAAGTTATGATAAAAATTAATAACGTAGCTTATAAATATGACCAACAAATATTCTCCTCTCTATGCCTTATAAATAGGATCAAAAAGAATATATATACATACACTCAATTATTTGATCTTATTTATAAGTCATTTTTAATTTCACCAAAATAAAAAAATCTTAAATTCCATTAACTTTATCTAAAATAAAATTTAATAATATTTTAACTTTGTCTTTATTAAATATATATACTTTGTGATAAAAAATTAATGGAGGGCAAAAGAAAAAATTTGTGATAAAAATTTAATTACATGATTTATAAATAAGATCAAAAAATATTTCTCTTCTACCCTATAAATAGGACTAGAGTGAGTATTTATATATAACCAACAGGAAGTTGTACTATTCACAAATCTGACTTTGGCCATTGTAGCTACACAAGTTCCTGAGATCTAATTTAATTGTGAGGAAAGAATAAGGTTAATGACCATTTCCCTCCTAACTTTTAGAGGAAAGCTGGGCACCTTATATTAAAGGGTGGGGCAATATCCCCTATAAATAATTTTTTCAAGAGCAAAATTACACTTTTGTCAAAGACTTATCATCTTCTTTATTATCTGCTGATGTGGTGGGCTCACACATAGTGACAACAAGACATTTTGACTCATTTTGTTGCTAAAATTAGACCCATTTCTTGCCACCACCACCGCTCTTTGCAACCCCTTTAGCCCACATTAAATGGTGAAAATGAGTCAAAATGCCTTGTTGTCACTGGACATGGGCTTACTATGTTAGCAGATAATGGAGAAGATGATAGGTCTCTAATGGAAGGATGATTTTGCTCTTGCAAAAATTGTTTAGGGAGGTTATTGTCCCACCCTTCAGTACATGGTGCCCAACATGTCCTAAAAAATTTAGGGAAAAAAATGGTTCTTAACTTTAAAGGATAACTCACTTCTTTCTTGATCTCCTTTGGTATTTTCTCTGGAGGGGCAGGAGGCTCAGCCTTGATTTTTGGGGATATTAACTCAACCTTTTTGTTGCTCTTTTTCTCAATAATCTTCAATATCTTCAAGGGGTCTAATTTTCCTTTCACTTTTATTTCTCCTTTCTCCATATCTGTCTCCACATTCTGAACCCCTATTCATAATCATTCACCCACCATGTATCATATAAAGACTCATCAACATTTCTAATATGGAGGCAATATAATGATAATAAATTAAAATTCAAAATACATATATAGATGAGGAATAAGAATAATTGAATTAATTAAAAGTTACCTTGAGTAACAAGGAGATGCTTCTTGATCTTTCGTCCACATTGCTGGCAATGAAGGTTAACTTTGTAAATGGCATTAATCACATCACTTCCCTCTTTCTTCTCATCATTCTTCTTATTCTCTTCTTTCTCTTTTCCCTTCTCTTCTTTCTTCTCTTCTTTCCCCTCAGCCATATTCGCTCGCCTCTGTGCAAGTGCACTGCTCGATATATGTGAAAAGATTAACGAGAGTAACTAATGAAGAAAATTTATTAGTGTTGGATATTTTCAGGTTATGGGTCAAGACTCAAGATCAATTGGGTTTTTGTCAAGACTGATTTTCTTGTCGCACAAGCTTTAGAACTTGATGAAGTTTCGTAAGAGACCATATCGCTTCCATGGTTGGTAGCTCACCAATTATTGGAAACTTGCTCTCGTGTATTTGAAGAAGTAAAAGGGCATACAAGGAATTTATGGAATAAATTACAATTCCATAAATACCCTTAAGTTTTGTTAAAATTAAGGAAAAATCAATCTGTAGATCCTTCTAATATTTGTTGATTTGAATTAGATCCTTGTATCTTTTTTTTTTGGTTTAATTAAATCCTTACTGTTTGATTGATCAAATATATTAATCCTGAATGATTTAAATACTTAAAATTTTAATTTCTTTTAAAGATGAAATTAAAAATTTATATTTTTATGAAAAATTATATAAATTTGGAATTAATAACATAATTTTATTACTTAAAATTTATATAATTAAGTTATGTTTTTTTAAAATAAATTACGCATGTGTGTGTAGAATTTTTAGAAGGGAAAGGTGCACACATCTAGTGCCCAATTGTATCTCAAATATAATTGTCTCTAATAGGAGAATACCTGTGAGCAATCAAAAACTATCTATATAATTTTTATAAAAACTTAATAAAAATGAAAACATTGTATTAAATAAAATTTTATTTTTTTGTCTAAAATTATTAAATCAATTTATTCAAAAATTTTAAAAGTTGTTTTGTTTTAAAAATTTAATCATTCATTAATAATTTTAACTTTATAAAAAAATAATATATTTAATCATTTAAATTAGAAGGGCTTAATTAAAATTACAGGGACTTATTCAAAATTGACAAAAATTTGAAGGACCTACAGATTAATATTCCCTAAAAATAAATTTGTAGTTGTTTTCGTTTTTAATTATTTTTTATAGTTTTTGAGTTTAAAATTTTGTTTTTCCTTACCACTTTTAAATCTTTCCAATAAAACCTTGAATTTATAAATAATAACATCATTTATAGGAAGAGAGTAATGGATGACTAGCATTTGGAATATAGAAACCAATATGGCTATACCTACGATATTAACGCCCCCAGTAATAACAAACCAAATGAACATTTGAAATGTTTCATTGTTATAGTAAAATAATTGTTTTCAAGTGGTTAATATTTTAAGATACTAAAAAATTACATTCGGCGGCAACCAAAAAAAAAAAAAAACTCTTTCCAGCCCAATTATTTAATTAAGTATCTTTTAAGTTCTTTAACCATAACATCTTTAGTCTCAAAAGGTTATTATTTTGTGCTAATTATTGTTATATTAAAAAAATAAACTTAATATGTTAGCATTTGAAAATATTTTATTAATATTTAAAAGTTCAATGTTAGTATTTTTTTTTGTTAATGAAACTAATGATATTAGAATTAAAAGATTGAAAAGACATTTAATAATATTAAGAAGGTAAAATAAAAGTTTATGTGAAGCAAAATGTTTACTTTTACCTAAATAGTAATTACAGAGCCATGTGTAGCACTAGGTCATTAAGCCGATCCTTAGGCCTAAAAAAATGTTCTCTTATACCATAAATTAACTTGTTATTTTTTTTATTAAGCGTTAACATTAATTATATAGTTTCATTAAAAATTTATTACTTATATGCCATATAATATAATCTGTCATTAATTTTTTATTAAACATTTGGCCTCTTAAATAATTTTGTATTAGACTCCAAAACTCCTCCACACGGCCTTACCTAAATATAATCAATGTTTTGTGGTTAACCCACAAGTATTTTCAAAATTCATATTATTAGGAGTAAGGTTAAGCAGGGCTGGTCTAGTTAAGTCACAATTCCACAGGATTTGATATGTCGCTACATACTTTTACCACTAAACACATATTTCTTGAGTGTTTTTTTTTTTTTAAGACAAACATATTCTTGAGCTTGAAAGAAAAGAATTGCATGAGTGAAGAATGAAGAAAGCTTACAAGACTTTTTGATGATGACCCAATTTTGAGTTTGACTAAAATGTATAGTTGATATTTTTTTCAAGTCATGGTGGTTGAGTTTGGTGAAAAGAACTCTCCTTCTTTTAAATGAGATTCAATGAACTCTTGAAATAATAATAATAATAATAATAATAATAATAATAATAATAATAATAATAATAATCCGGCCTCTACATTGCAGTTTGTGTCGGTCATAGATGTCTAATTTACCATCTTAGTCATTCAAGCTATGTGATTGAAATACATACATACATATAGATACATATATATATATATATATATATCTATATATGAGATATGAAAATAAAAAGGGGATAAGATAAGATAAGAAGAGAAAAAAGATAAAAGATAAATAAAAAAAGTAAAAAAATAATCGTGTTTTTAAAATATAAAGAAAGAAAATAAAAAAATAGACTTTATTTAATACAAAAGAAAAGAAAAAAAAGAGAGAAGAAGAAAACGAGAAAAATTTCATTAAACCAACGGCGGGCGTGGCCTACCATTGGTTTGATTCAAGGTTGTTATATATAACCTTGAATCTGATGAGATCAAGGCCTTTTCATGGTTTCGGCGTGCAGCAAAGAGATTGAGAGGAACAGGTGAGGAAAATTGTAGATGAGCCATAATCAGAAACTTTAGGAGTGGGACGATTTCTAAGATGGGGTAAGCAATCTAAAATTTTTATTCTTGCCTGGATCACTAGATTTTGGTGGATTTAAAATTGAAGAGAGATAAAGGGACTAAATAAGAGTTGTAAAGCTGTTGAGTAGTGACTCTATGACTATACATGGTATGCTAGAAAAAAACTTTTAAGAAACTCTTGATAAATACTAGTAATTCTAACAGTTTTAGAAATTATTCTAGACTTCTCTAAGGCAACTTAGAAATTAATAGTAACTCTGGAGAATAAATTATAACTAATTAGAATTTCTTTTAATTCTTTAGGGATGAAAATTTAATTTATTAGATACTTAGGACTTATAAAAGATGCTCAAGAATACTCTGGAGTTAAAAATAATAATCAACATAACTTAAAAATTATTTTGAGAATTCTTTGGAATAAATTAAGAAGCTGTAATTCTAGAAAATCTTAAATAAAATTAATAAGAATTTTTTGGTGCAGTTTTAGAGTTATCAATATCTCCTGAGTACTTTGGGATAGCCATAGACACTACTACAAAATAGGTCAACCAGAGCTAGCATATAGGAGCTTTTTTGGCAAAAAAAGCTCTAATTTCAAAAGGCAGAACATATCGAAGCCATTTTAAAAGAAAAGGCTCCGATAAGCTTGACCTACAAGAGCTTTTTAGTTATTAAAATACTCTAATAAGTATTTTTACCCCAGGGGAGTGTTTTTAACTGCAAGAGCTCCCATTAGTTATTTAAATAGAATCAGTTAAATAAAACATTAAAAAAATTTGTATAAAAAATTAAGAATTTTAAATATTTATAAAATATAAATGATTATTTTGCAAAGGAAAGTGACATTATATAATTAAATTTATTTCAAAAAAGTAAATTATTATACTTTCAATATTATCTTTGATATTTTATATATAAAAATAAATAATAAAACAAAAATAATATTTACAAAATATTTTAAATTATAAAATTCATAGTAGTTGTTAATTTTAAATTATTTATAAAAATAAAATACAGATACCAGAATGTTTTTAACTGAAAAAGCTCTCATAGACTGTATTTATATTTATATTTTTTTAATTTTTGAACACCTACAAGAGCTTTTCTTACATATAAAAGCTCTTATAGGAGGGAGAATGTCAGATCGTTTCTCAAATGAATAGCTCCTGTATGCTGTACTTTTATTTTGTTTTATTTTTTACTTTCAAAATATCTACTGAAGCTTTTTTGATATAAAAAGCTCCCATAGGTTCAAATCTATCGGAGCACTTTGCCTCTGAAAAGCTCCTACATCTTCCTTGTTTTTTTTTAAATTTCCCTCCCTTTTCTTCAGAGCACATTTCTTTGATCCTTGTGCCTGCGCGTAACTCCTATTTTCTTCCTCAATCCCTCCATTTCTTTGAATGCATACATCTCCATCTTCGAACATCATCTATGTGCTACTTACTTGAGGTTTGGCATTAAAGTTTCCAGCTGGAGGTCTATCATTCAAATCTAGAAGTGTATCATCTATCATCTGCATGCTACTTTAGTTCATGATTCAAGCTCAATCTAGGTATGTCATAAAATCTCACCTCGAATTTAGCAAACCTAAACACGTCATCCATCATCTGCATGTTGCTCAAGTTCGTGATTCAAGCTCAATCTAGGTATGTTATAAAATCTCAATTTAGGTGTAAACTGAAGGAGAAGCAAACCTATTTTTGTTTAAGCTCTCCAATATGACTTCTTTTGCTGTATTTTTTTTTTTGCTTCTTGCTTTACCTTGGATTCCATCATAAGGTGTATCTCTCCCATATTTTTTTTTTTCTGATTTTGACTTTGAGAGTCCCATATCTCTCTGGTGCCTGCCCTTTATATCGATGTATCCTGTTCTGTTTGATTTGGAGTTTGACATCCTGTAGATGCGAATTCTTCTTGCCCTACCATCCTTTCTTGATTGATTCTACACAGCATTGATTCTCTCTCTAATCTTAGTCCCTTATAGTGCATATTTTCAACGATGGATTAGACTCCCTAGTTCTCATCCTTGGTTCCCAAATATCCTTCATTCTTTCACTTCCCTCTTTCTTTATTTTTAATATGGCATGTGGGGATAACACTAACTAGTGCATTGGCAATTTAGCAAACCAACAATTTACATATATGTGAGGTCATCAAAGTTGTAACATACTGAATTTCTTAATTCTGTGATTAGCTATTAATTAGGTGTAAGGTGGTAATTAGTGTGGGATTAGATATTAGGATGGTTAGTTGATGATTTGTGTCTTTACGATGTTGTATGAATAGATTTGGGTGGAAAGATTGCATTTCAGGTCGAAGCAAGTATGTGTGGTAAGAATTATCCTCACTATACCATACGTTGCGGT